AGTAGGTCCGGATCTGCTCCAGCATGTGCAGGACCCTCATCTCCCGGCGGGCTTGGCCCTCATCCTGCTGTGAGTAAATGATGTTGTGGAGGGCAGCGCTTGCTCTGGACTTGGCCTCACGGCTGCAGCCTGTTGTGGTACCACCCGCTGCTGTCTCACCAGGACCGCTGCCTCCGTCCGGGCCTTCATGCAGAATCTGGACCAGAAGGGGGACGCAGCCAGACTTTCTCATGGCAATGCAGCTGTCCTGAGAGCTGGAGAGAGCCAGTAGAGTCCGGGACATCTCCTCCTTATCTCTGTTAGCCAGCATGGAGAGCAACCAGAAGACCATCTCCACCTGCGGAGGAAACATCAGTAACGATCTTATCCACTTCCACCAGCCATAGTTACAAACTATACAATGACAGGGTACGCTTTTGTAAGTTTCACTCTATAAGTACAATGTTGTAGACATTAATTGAGTTTTTGGTGTGTTGCTACCTTGCTACCACCGTCTGCAGCTTCTGTTCCTGCTGCTGTGGCTGATGATGAGCTGCTGTTCTCTGGTTCTCCAGCAGGGGGCTTCTCGGCACCAGAGAGCTGCACACAGAAAGACAGAAGAAGAAAAATGCATAAAGATGGTATCTTTGACCTACTTCTAGTCTGATCTCCACCTTTCGCATATACAGCTATACTTTTTGATTTTTTAAATTAATTTCCTTTATCATTATTTGGAAAAAATAAATTATATTTTCAGTTCAGTTTTATTTTTATCATTAACATTATGGGAGATGTTTACCTCAAACAAACCTGTTCAGAACAGGTACTACGATAAACATGGAAGCAGGTGATAAATCTGCAGGTGATAATTTCACATTTTTATTCATGTACAGTAAATATTTGTATACATTTAATTTTAATTTAAGTTATTTATAATAATCATCTTGGTGTGGACACATTGATCGTTGTTTCATATGAAGAAAAATTTGTCTCAAAAATGTTACAAATGCGTTTGGTATGATCCACAAATGTACACAAAGATTCATAAGTGCGTGTTTCAATTCACACAAAAATATAAAGCAATATGAACACATGTAAAACTATTTTACAAATGCATATACCCAAACCTGAATAAATGCTGATCACTTATAATTTATAAATTCATCTTCACAAGTCGGATAATTTTCTCTTTCAAAATGTTTTCTGTGCATACAAATGTCTAAAAAGGTAAAATCCCTCTTGCTCACTTACAGAACCTTAACAACGTGTGCACGAATCGCCTGATATGCACAAATCACATCACATCCCCATGTGGGGTTTTGAGACAAAGTTCACGCTGTCAACAGGTCCACAAGTGAAAGCTTCTGTAAAACTGAGACATCTGGGCTTTATCTGTTTTCCTGCGTTTTCCCAAATAAAGCGAGTGTGTCTTCTAAATAAATAGAGCAACTCGTCACCCCTCTACTTGGAAAAATACATTTACCAATTACAGGCACACGGTGGGCTGTAAATGTTAATATGTGGTTTAAATAAGCTGCTGACACATGCTGGTGTGTTCAGGATTAGTCATCAGGCTAACATGAATGTTATAATAAGAAAAGCCATTTGTGTAAGACCCTGCTATTCAAACCAGCCAAAGCTGTATGACATGGAGGTTGGCCTTAAAGGAGGAGGAGCTAAAACAGCTGGTTTCAGACAGGGAATGAACTGAAGGGCTGCAGTAAGCTCAGTAGAGCTAAATAAGGATTATTTTGAACCTTGAATCATGCAAAGCTACTCTAGTAGAGTCCAAGAATTAAAAGATTTGCAAGACAGAGATGAGCAGAATGGGCTGAATATCAGCTAATGTCAATGTCAAGCTCTATTATTAATGCTCTACGAACCGATTAAAATATTCTACACATCTGCAGAATTTATATTGAGATTTCTTAGGAAACACTAGACAGAGGACATGTGGATGATGTAGGATCTTTGATGTCTTTACTGTGAAATGTTCATTTAAGAGCCCGTATCACAATCTTCTTGCATCCATTTGTTCTAATTTCTTTGTGAGGACCTTTATTTCCTAAGAGCTTCCCCTAAACCAGAGCATGAACCCTAAAACCAGGTCTGACCCTTCACACCTGAGTCCGCTGAAGGTCTGTCCAGCAGTGAAAACCAGACCCTCCTCACCAGGTCTAAAACTCACACTGGTCCTCACACAGATAGACATCCACTGACAAACACACAGCTTCATTTGGATTCACAGACTGAAACCTTCAGAGACTCCCATCAAAGACCCCCCCTTTCATCCCATCACCATGGTTACGCCTAGGGGTGTGATGTGTGAGCCAAAGACTGTCTACAGACAAAGAGGTGTGTGTGTGTGTGTGTGTGTGTGTGTGTGTGTGTGTGTGTGTGTGTGTGTGTGTGTGTTAATCTCTATTTTCCTCTATTTTCCTCCTGAATATTTTTCCGTCCTCCAGTTGGACAGACTGAATCTTTGGCTCGGATCCAAACATCCTCCAACACGAGCAGCTGCAACGTGACGAGAAAATGGCCGACAGCATGCGGCGGAGATAAAACATGATCACTTTCATTCACTATGAGGGAGGACGACCACCTCTAGCAAGACTAAAACACATAAACACTCAAACACTATTTTGAAACCTTTCAGCCTTAGACCGGCCATCCAGGTGCTGCACAATCATCCACAGAGTCAGAGACTGTGAGATAGGCTACTGCCACCATCAGGTCACGCTGAGCTTTTGCCACAAGAATCTTATTAAAGACGCCTCTCAGAACATTTTTATGGACTGCTCTTTCTGTAATCTTTTTATCATCTGTTTTTATCCCCTGTAAAGTTATAAATCCTTTTAAAAAGACATTCATGTTTCAAATTTGTCAGCAACACAAAATAAATTCCTTCTGTCTCTACTGTTGTCATGGAGACAGATATCTTTAAACCTGGATAAATAAAACCAGGACAGGTCCTGAATCCCAAAGCAGGAGAAGGGCTGGAGCTGTTGTAATTTGGGTGAATTGACCCTTTTAATGAGGTGATATTTGTTAGTACTGTCTGGCATCCACGTATCCATTTCTGTGGTCTCATTATTCTCAGAGGGAGGCAGAGCAGAGAAAAGAAGCACCGATTCGCTCTCTTTATCTCAGACACACTTGCTCAGTGCCAACCCTGCAGCTTGGCAACAGCCAATCGTAACGCAGCTCTGAGCTACATAAAAAAACAGGTTTCTCTGCACAGCAACGAGTGGAAGCTGAAGAGCAGGAGAGCGGAGCTGCTTAAAATCTGTTCTGTCTGTTTTTATTTTTTCTTCACTCTCTGATGCATTTTAAGAAATAGCACTTTCTTATAGGAGCCACAAATGAAAGGTTTTCACCTAATTGACACATAGCTGGCAGATCACTGATAAACTGATGGGTCTACAGAGTTTTTCAAATAAGTTCAGGTTTGCTGCAATCACCAACAATCCTTGTTTATAAAGCTGAATTTCTTATATAATTTTTTATACATTTTTCTAGTGTCAGAAAAAAGTAAAACCAAATCTAAAGGTCCCGAGTTTGTTGCTATAAAGAACCATTAAACGAACAAGTATTTACACTTCAGATAGATATAAGCAGTATCTGCTGGGCTGAAAAATCAGTTAAAATCACCAGCGTGAGCTTGCAGAACCCAGCAGGCAGGACATAGGATCAGCTTTTTGAGTCACTCATTTGGCAGAAGGCTCAGTCCATCTGGACCAATACCTCACAAAAACAGTTTCTTTCCATCTGCAGTTGGAAAGAACTTTTAATTAACATGTTACACTTAAATGCACTTATTTTTAATAATTTTGCACATTGGACACACTTTGAGGTCCAGGCAGCGCCTTCGATTAGCTGATGCCAGCCATAGTGGACAGCTAGCATCTACAGCTGCTTGTGTCAGCATCCAGGTGTGAATAAGAGGCAACACCTCGAATCAAGTTTAAGCCTTAGTCTCATTTAAACAGGTGACTTATTTTTAAAAAAAAACATCCCTGGTACAGTTGCTTGATGGAAAGTTTAGCTGCAGAGACCAAAACTGGCTGTAAATGTGTTTATTTCTGCTGTAAAGTGTTTTTGAGGATTAACTTCCTTTTCAAAGCCGCCACATGCAGCCATTAGAGGAACTGCAGCCTTCCACTCTTAATCTGTGGCTTCTTTTTCCCGGTCTGGAGGCTAATGCTCAGTAAACATGAGCTATCCCATTTTTAAAAAATGCAAAAGTAAGTAATGAAAATTAACATGCAAAATGCTTAGCATCATAAATATAAGATGCCAGGATTTCGTTTTATTGGGAAAAATATAACTGCTACATCTCACTGCACATCTGACCAAATACTAACACTTGACTGATAAATCCTTTTTGTTTCGGTTTAGCTGTAAAGCTGCACTGACTGACCTTTATCAGAAATGAGTTTAAACACCTTTGAGATACAAACAGTTTTTGCTCAGTTATTGAACTGAATATCTAATTTCTGGGATTTTCTTATGGAGCACTTGGTTCCACATCAAAGACTGTTTATGTGTGAAGAAAGAAAGTCTGGGAAGAAACATTGTTATTGCTTTTTGTATTGCACCCAATGGTCTGCTGTCAAACATTTGTTGTGCATAAGAATGCCGACCAGTTGTGCAGGTAAAATAATAATAATAATATTTTAAATTTCAGGCCATGTTACTGGACTGCTGTGTACATTGATGGTCAGTGGTAGTCCAACATGTAGTTTCTGCTTCAGGGCACCGGACCATGTGACTACAGCCATGCAACTGAACTTGACTTCATATTTCGTCACAGCAGAAGCAAAGTGGAAGCACTCCCCACAGCCAACCAATCGTCTGCTCTGCAGTAAGGTGAAAACATGGAGACAAACTGGTTGAACCAGAAACCAGTTCAGAAATGCAAGAAAACCAGAGGGAGACACAGATTTACAGCAGAGACAGAGAGTGTGTGTGTGTGTGTGTGTGTGTGAGGCCTTGGTGTTTTGTTTTCAAATCTTTTCGTGGTTCGCAAATGAAAAAAGAAGAAACGTGAAGCAGATGTGAGTATTTCAATGAGACGCTGTTGTTAAGAGTAGATTATTGGATTAACTCCTAACAAGCCTAAACATGACCTGAGATTTACCAACTACGTATGAACGCGCTTTCTGTTTCTGTGAAATCTGGATTCAGAAAATCATATGATTCAAGTATTTCTTTAAAAGGACCGAATCAGCTGTTTAGACAGGAAATGGTCGTATTTTTAAATGTAGCAGACTGAATATTAATATCTGTCATTCAGAGCTCAGGAGAAAATTACCGGTTACTTTTTTTCTGTCCAGAAGAAACATTTTAGTTCCTGAAACATTTTTAGAGAACATGTATTTTGTTATTTGTCATTGTTTAGCTAGAATTGGGTTAGAGAGGAAGTAGTCTGAGCAAACTACCCCGGGTTCCCCTTTCACCAGACCAGAAGGGATTTAGAATCCTTGCTTTGACCTGGAAAATCTCCCTTTGCAGGCATCCAGATGGCATCCTGGTCAGACACTTGAAGAGCCCAGCTGTCTCCTTAAAATCCTTTTATTAGCAGTGCTACAGTCAGAAATCAAATGTATCATTTCCACACATATCTGTTCGTACAGGTGATCCCCACAGCCTAAATATCAATATCTTAAAGATTGCTGTGAACACGTCACAAGGATTAAAGAGTTTCACAGAACAACAAAATGAGCCACAGTGAAAAACCTTCAGAGCAACAGGATGAGACAGAGACTGACATACACGAGGACGACAAACTTCACCTAGAGGACTGTAACGGTAAAGATGATCAGGTGAGAGATTTACTCAAGACGAGTCAGACGGAGAAAAGGTCGGTCAGACCGCTCACTCTTTTCAAAGAGGACTTGAGCCAGTTCAAGGAAGGACTGTTGAAAGTGTTCAAGGACAAAGACACAAATCCTAAAACAACACAGCCACCAGAAAAGACGACCAGCACTCTGACTCTGCTCAAAGAGGACTTGAATCATTTGAAAGAAGACATCTCCAGCATCTTCAGAATCGGCCTTTCAAAGGAGCATGAAGACAAAGATGGTGCTGCAAAGCTAGATTCCTCCAACGCTGCCAAGATAAAAGCCACTAAAGCTGAAAGAAGTGACGAGTCCCTCCTGAATCTGTTCAAGAGAGGTAGTCTTTCAAAGATTACCCCCAAAACAAACGATAGTCAGGAAGTTAGGAAGACACTCCCAGTAAAGGCAGAGGAACAAACGGATAATGGATTTATGAACAAAAACTCAATTAGCACCGAGGAAACTAATAACAATACGACGGAGAGGCTGAACGACTCAGACGACAGCAAGCTGGATGCAAATATTTCCCAGGAGGTAACTGAGAGGAGGAAGGCTTCCTCTGAAACACAACAGATCCAGGAGGCGATGCATGCATCGGAGAAAGGTGCGTCCTGCTTTAAAAAACCCACACATGTTTACAGTCAAACTCTACCACAGCTTCTGGTTTTTATTATTTTGTCATATTCATATGTGTGTTTGTGCGTCTGATGAAAATTGAAGGTAAATTAAATATTTTTTTTTCTTCATTCAGCTTCAAATGAATCAAATCTGCTGAAGTTGTTTAAACAATTAGATCAAACAGATGGATCGAAATCTTCATTTGATTAATTTTCTATTTTAAAACTCGTCTTGTGTATTCATTTATTTTCTTCAGTTGATCAGTTAAGTGAGAACGGGAAGGGGGGACATGACTCGTCAGCGGCGTCAGGCGAGGAAGAGGAAGAAGATGAACCTTCAGAAACAGTTCAGTGTCCTTTGATGTCTAGGCTCACTTTGATCGCTGTGGGAAACACCGACAAAGCAGACCTCAAGTGAGCCAAACCATTTCAAACATTCGATTTCCAAATAGATGTAATTGTAACGCTGATCAGATGTTACATGTTTTTTATGCTGTGACTGTTTCTGGTCTTTTAGGGAGTTGCCAGGAGGACACCTGTGGGCACTGAAAAACTGTAACTGTACCTCTGCTTCTTTAATGTCTCTGTGTCTTTAAAGGCCACTTTAAAACCCTTTGATTTCCAATACCTTAATTTTTCTACAAAATCTCCTGGTAATGTTCTCCCTGAATAATAGTTCCAATCTAGCTGTGAAATTTTGGGATATTTGACAGGGTGGTATCGCAGCCTATAATCATTAAGTACTGACTCTAATTTCCTTCAAGAAAAAACACTTTTTAAAGTAAAGACCATTAAATGTAATTACTCATTCTGAGAATGGCTGTTCATGAGGTGGTCATGTCCCAAGCTCAGTCCCGGGCTAATCAGCTTCTCCTGTTTCACCTTCAGTTGCCCACTACCTGACCCTTGACCCCAACACTGCCAACTCTGAGATCCTTCTAACTGACAGTAACAGGAAGGCAACTCGTGTCTGGTCAGAACATCAATACTCAGAACATCCAGAGCGGTTTGAGTTCTGTCCTCAGGTCCTGTGCAGGGAGGGACTGCTCGACAAGGTGTACTGGGAGGTGGAGTGGAGAGGTGGTGCTGACATCGGTGTCACCTACAACAACATCTCTAGAGATGGAGACACGGTGAACTGCCTGCTGGGACACAACGAGCGTTCCTGGACTGTGGAGTGCGCAGAGGGAAGCTACACTCCGTGTCACAACAGAAAGAGGTTAAAGTCGCTCTCACCCGAGAACTTCACCCACAGAATTGGTATCTATCTAAACTGGCCTGCTGGCGCTCTGTCCTTCTACTGCGTCTCTCAGGACATGATGGTCCACCTCCACACTTTCAGCTGCGCCTTTACTGAGCCACTGTACCCGGGGTTCTGGGTGTGGGCATACAACGGCTCAGTGTCTCTCTGTCATGTAGAGTTGGAGTGGGAACATGCACTAAAGTGACAACAGGACGACCCCAGGATACCCAAATGAGACTTTTCTCCTGGCTGAGAGCATCATGTGGAGTTATTCATCAGTGTTACTCATTGTTGGAGCAATGCAGTCTCCCTCCATGCTGTAGGAGAAGTTTTTCAGAGGTAGATTGGGGGCGGGGTTTCAGAAGTTGGACAATGCAGTGAGAGCAGAGATGCAAAAACTATACCCACAGCTTTGCAAATAACAGGTTATGTGATGAAACATCAAACTACATTGATATAAACACGACTTCCTTATTCTGTCTGAATTCATGCTGATATCACAACACTGGATCACAGCAATCATGAATACTAACCTTTCCTCCTTTTTTCTAGCAACAGATTTTTACACATTTCTGCTGTTGGTCACCCACAAGAAAAAAAATCCACCAGCATCAGACACCAGAAGCCTCAGCTGACCAATCACAGCTCTTATACTCGCCATGTGACATCTCTGCATCCAATTAAAGCGTCTACAGAATTCATCACTAACACATTTAATGCACAAATATCCTGTGGATTCACACACTGCTGTGTGTGTGTTAGAGTGTACAGTATATCTGACCTGCAGCTGGCTCTCCTGACTCCCTCGGGCCTCCTGCAGCTCTTTCTCCAGCTGCTCTAGACGAGCAACACGCTTCTGCAACACACACACACAGACACACACATTTCAGATGCATCCAGATGTGTTTTTTCCACCAGCAGTTGTCGCTGACACATCTCATTGGCAGAAATCTCTGGTCGCTGTAGTTTCTAATCTAATTATTCTGACATGTCATCATGAATACCGGGACTGATGACTCAAGCTGTGGATTTGCACTTTATTCACGGCCATTTTGTTCCCACGACGAACCCTCTGCGTGGATTAGGGTTCTCACGATAATTCACTTCAGTTATATTACTGTGATATCCAGGGTTAAAAAAGAAAGTAACAACGTTGGCTATCGCATGTCTCATCAAGAGTTATATTTGATATGGGGTTTCTGAGAGATTTGCCTACTATAATATACCTGTTCACAGCAGCTGTTTAAATTCATGGAGGCTTTGACTTTGCTTCATTACACATATGAACTCTTTGTGATGTGGACGCTAACACAGGTGGGTAAAGCAGCTGACTGCCTACTAGGCCTCACATCCACTTGCTGGCAGTTACTGAAGTTGACCTGTTTGCCGTATTCGTACTGTTGATGACACATTTCAGTGCAGTTATGTGACAGATAATCGGACATACTGTGAGGTTAATCATACTAATTATAAAGATGTGTGAGAAATTCTGGTGGTTACTGACTGGCAGGTGTGTGTTTGTGTGATGAACCTACACGTTTGGGCCAAACTCAGACAGCACTAGCTGGTAACAGTTTATCCAAACATGACCTACAGCGGTGGCAAAACTTCAGAAACGGACTTCATAAAACTATGGAAATGTCAATGTCCAGTGTTTGGCTTCTTTCAGTTGTTATTAAGGAAACTGAGTTGATCAAGCTCACCTGCGTCCTGTGAACCACCTCATCACTGGTGCCGAAGCGTTCCTCCATCACAGACCGGATCTTCTGAGCATCGAACTCCAGCTTCTGCCGGATCATGTCTATCTGTAGTGAAAACTGTAGCAGGAGAAACACACCGAGGTCAGAGGTCAAAGGTTTCTCTGATTACTGGACAAAATAACAAGTCCATGTATGAGTAAAAACACCCAAAGCTTGCATTTCTGTGGTTATATCCTTTATTATATCAATAAACTCTCACCGTGTCAATGCGTGGCAGCTGGGCCAGTTTCTGTGACAGCTCCTCAAGCTGGCTGAAGAACCAGCAGCGCTCCCTCTCTTCTCGGTCAATTTCCCCCAGCAGGAGGTCCCTGTAGATAGTTGTAACCGTTATTATTATATTATAACCATACATCATAACACTGACAGGCTAAAACCTGATTAGCATCAAGTAAATGGTAAATGGTAAATGGCCTGTATTTATATAGCGCTTTACTTAATCCCTAAGGACCCCAAAGCGCTTTACATATCCAGTCATCCACCCATTCACACACACATTCACACACTGGTGATGGCAGCTACATCGTAGCCACAGCCACCCTGGGGCGCACTGACAGAGGCGAGGCTGCCGAACACTGGCGCCACCGGGCCCTCTGACCACCACCAGCAGGCAACGGGTGAAGTGTCTCGCCCAAGGACACAACGACCGAGACTGTCCAAGCCAGGGCTCGAACCGGCAACCTTCCAATTACAAGGCGAACTCCCAACTCTTGAGCCACAATCGCAAAGTAAGGCGGAGCTTATTGCCATTCGTTTGGTGGCTACATCAGATGAAAAGCTCTTCATCTTAACTACCATGGAACAAGTTACATTAGCCTGCAGGTCTAATTTCACTTTAGAAAAAGGTTTTTTTTGGACATTTCACAGTTAAACACTACTTATATTGTGTTATTATACATTTCACTATTTAAAATCTTAAAAAATTGCTGATTGATCAGCTCTCTCACACGTTGTGTCATCTGTAAACTCAGATGAAGGCTCTGGGTGAACTTGACTGTACCAGTCCCATGTGACCTCCCACCCTGAGGTGCTTCAGTTAATATTTATGTAAATCAGCTTACCTCTCCTTGCACAGCTCGTCCAGGTGATGGTCAATCACTCGTCCGTCTGCTCCAGTGATCATAGCTATTTTGGGCGGGGCTCCATCCAGGAAGTGATGCGGCAGGATGACAGCGGCAGTCTTCCCGGCAGACACTGTGCTTTGACAGGATGCCGATCGGTGAGGACTCCTACCTCTGCTTACTGCGGCCATCGAGGAGGAGGAGGAGCACGAGGACGGGGCCAGAGCTAGGTGATCATCTAGTTCTGCACCTCCGCCAACACCTGGCCCCGCCCCTCCTAGGCTGCCTGTCAGCAGCCTCAGGTTATGAGGTTGATGTTTGAGTTCGTAGTAATTGGTGAGGTCCATGTGGAGTTCTGAGGGAGGAGGAGGAGGAGGTGAAGGAGGGTCAAGAGCCATCAGATCAACAACTCAGGCTCTACTTTTAAATCTGGTTTATTTAAAATTGGAATTTCTGCCTATGATGTAACAGCAGCCCCGGGATATTCAGCGTTTGATTTTAGAATTACAGTCACTATCTTTTATTCGTCAATAATACTCTTCAGCATATTTATACTCACATTTTTTGCAATATTTCTGCATAAAATTATTTTGTTAAAGGACTTATACTGTGTTTAATCCATTAAGTGTCCGCACTGACAGAGGCCAGGCTCAGGGCAGCTGTGGCTACAACGTAGCTGCCATCACCAGTGTGTGAATGGGTGGATGACTGGATGTGTAAAGCGCTTTGGGGTCCTTAGGGATTAAGTAAAGCGCTACATAAATACAGGCCATTTACATCTGGTCATTTCTATGCAGGTGATAGGCTTGTCTTCATTTTGCTTATTGTGATCTAAAATTATATTTAAGGAAAAAAAACAACAAACGTCTCCACTTTTTTCAGACTTTAACAGCAAATCTGTTTTTTCTTTGGATGTTTTGGTGTTTAAATGCTAAATTTGTGTGACTCATAAAACGTGTAAACAAAAATATTCTGTCATTAGCAACAATCTATTTTCTATTTAAATGCTCTGTCATAAAATCTGTCATCTGTCTAACCCCGGCTGGCTTTCACTGGTTACCAGTACCATAAATAATACTAAAACACTCTATTTTTTAACTGGACCACCACTTTTAAGTTTGTATGGTTACATTTGAAGTAAAGTTGTCTAAATTCAGCGTTAATGCAGCTAAACTGTTGGTTTTATGTTTATTAATTAGACTGATTTAATTTCAGTTGTGTAGCTGAGTTGACAGACAGCTGAAGTCTATAAACACATCTGTCAGCTGGAAATGAACAAATTCCTGTCCAGACAAAGTAATTGACAATAACTGGCTATTTAACTGAATGAGGCCTGGCTTGCTGGAGCCAATCAGATTAGCTGAATGAGTCAATCTGCTTTCTCTGTAAGTGATGATTAGTCCCACTGGAGGCTCTGAGCTCCACACACCAGCAGAGTCAGGTAGGTGCAACCGGTACAGAAATTAGAAGGAAAATTACAACAATTAAGGGGGAAATGTAGTCTCCAGATGTACAGTGACTAAACAGACAGTTATAACATTCTCTCACTGTGATTTTAAAGCAAATTATTGTCAACATAAACCATTTTTTCTAAATCCAGAAAAAAGAGACGAGCAAATCTGAACCTGGTTCTCAAGTCGTAATGTTGTTGAGTATGAGGGGAACTTTCTGGGGGTGAACATCCCAAGTTCCTTAAATGGTTCCTAGAAAATGGTCCTCAGGCAGAAACAATCCTCAAATTACAAAAAAGAAAAAATGTCAAGCCAGATTTCGACCTTTAAGCTGGTGCAGCACGTCGCTCCTTCCAGACGATGCCAGGGTCCCTGCCTCCTGTTCCAGCTTACTCTGCAGTTGTTTCAGCACCTCCTAAGAAGAAAAGAAAACAACATGAATGTATCCAGGTGAAACTCCACAAAAGACATTTCCAGGTCAAAAGGTCACTTCCTTGTCAGGGGCTGGGTCTGAGACCCAGTGTTTTGTGTTATCATTCATCTTTGATTTCATCGTGGTTTATCTCTGCTAGTGTTTTGGTTTCCTTTTTGTATTTCTAACTAGTATTTCTTGATTTCTAGTCTTTAGGTTGTGTTTCTGTGCCTCCCCTGTGTTCGGTGTTTCTACTCTGTGCCTTCCTGTCCCACGTTTCAGGTCTCTGTTCTCTTGTCATCCTTGCCTCTGTGTTTGTGTGTTTCCGGTTTTACTTTGAAAGTCTGGTTTCTGCTTTGCTTCCTTTGTCTTGTTATGTCAGATTAGCCCCAGCTGTGTCTCCCCAGGTGTTTCCACTTCCCTCATTATAAACCCTTGTGTGTATTTAAGTCCTCTGTCTCCTTCTCTTCATGTCAGGTTGTCTGTTGTCTTCATGTCAAGTCATGCTCACAGAGTGTTGTTTTCTGCTGTCGTACTTGTGTTTGGATTATTTCACAGTCATGTTTTTGGATGTTCCTGTTCAGTTTCATGTTGTCTCTTGTCCTCATTTTCATGGTTAGTTTTATTTTTCCAGTTTAGGTTTTAGTTTAGTTCTCTTTGTTTTGTCTCGCCTTGTTTGGCTATTTTTTCATCAGCCTAAATAAACGTCTTGCTTTTTATTATACTTAGTTTCCTCTCCCCGCGAGTGCTTTTGGGTCAGCTTCACAAACACTTCCCTCCTGATCTCGTTCTTCTTGGTCTCATCTACTACAAAAATACACTCGCTACAGTAAAGTGATTCATTGTAACGTTGAGTGGTGAGTGTTTTTAAATGAGTGTTAGATGTAATAATTCCTATGCTGGATTTGTATTTAAGGTCAATATAAAACTTCCATAGTGAAATATAAATATAAAAAAAAAGAAAAAAAATTAATTACACATAACATATAATGTAATTGCAATGAGGTATTTCTGTAGTCTATTAATACTAGATAGTGGAAAAGGGGTGGGATTAAAGAAGCTTATGCTTCTTCCTGCTCCTTTTTGAACATGAACGTTATTTGGAGT